GCTTCGTACTGAAATTCTCTTTTCGAATTTTTTTATCTACATCTTGCAGTTTTGATCATGTGGAGATCGCTGTTGATGTTAAAACGATTCTCAACTGTAACAATTTGCACAAACACTTATTATTTTTCGATACCCGACTGAAGCGGCACCCCCCGGCTAAGCACCATCCCCTTGCTTCCATCCAATTTGAAAACCAAAAAGGATTAAACTTCTCAGCGGCAGGCTTCAAGTCATCTATATGCCTCCAACGTCATGTACATGATAAACATTGCCTACGCCTTCTTTTCGTCTTCCACTGATGCTGACTCGTGAATGGATCGAAATATCGTCCGCAATCAGTATGTGGCCTTGTCTTCAGCGCATGATTTTCCAAACGATGTGCCTTGAAAACCTAATTTAAGGCTGTTGTGAACAACTTTTTGACATTCATTACCCTGCCGAACGCCCATTTCGATCTTGAATTTGAAATCTGTTTTCGTGAAGCTTCACATCAGCAATTGCATTCTTGTAAATGATGGCGCTGAGGTGTATGTATCTTTTCTCGACATCCCGGCTCCTCAAGGAATAAAGTTCAGAAAAGATAGAGATTGAGTGAGTCGAATCCAAACATTCAGACCCGATGTGATGGTGAGAACTACTCGGTTTGGTTCCTTCACCGAAAGAGGTTAAATGCCATGTAGTGCATTCACCAATAGTGGTGCTGAAATAACACAAGGCATGCGGATTAGCAGAGAGATAAATAGATCCGACGAATCAAAATTCATAGGGCAATGCGACGATTAAAATTCACAGTACCAAGGGGCGCAGCGACTAAATAATTGGCGGAGTTAGCCGAAAAATATACGATAAAGTTCCATGATAGCAATGTAAAGTGACTAGTGCCTACCTCCATTGAACAATGCTGACGGTGGTTTCAGTTTTACATCTAAAATGGAGCATTCGGTTCAGGGATTGTTTCGTCTAAACTGTTTCTTGTCACACGGTACTTTATTCGGTATAATTTGTATGCTGTTATTTTGAGAGAAACTGTCATGATTTATCTCATGCCTGAGTAGCTGACGGATGAGCTACGGTTGTTTATCCACAAAATGTTTTGAATCAATTTCCTGAATCTTGATACTAGTTGTCATGTCCAGAACTAGATGCCAATAGCTTCATTCCTAATGCTTAAACGTTTCATCTTCGTTTCTTTTCAAAGCAAAATACTACCCGTTTTCTTTACGGAACTCCTCAAGTTGCGTTCTAGAACCTTATTCGGTCAGGCTTCTCTTTCTGTCACGCAACAGCACCACCAGCGACCCTCTGTAAATACTATCTAGTATTAAATGGCGTATGTTAGTCAGTACGAGGAAGCCAAGATACTGAAGTATGCAGGAATAGAAACATAAACAACCATGACGCAACGCTTCGTATATGATTCTTTACAAATATAACAAACAAATATGAATTTGCATAACTAAATTACAACAAAATCGAGCTGTCGCTATCACATTCCTCTTCTGACACTAAAAATCTTAATCACAACTGTTTGCAACTGAAATGTCAATAACTCACCGTCCGCAAGAGTATCGCAAGGTTGAGCCTGAATTTTGGACACTAAAGCGGCCAAATCCGTAAAAGACTGCGCTGAGGTAAATTTCAAGACCTAAAATTGATCATGGGTATCATTGATAAACAAGAGCTTGCAGAATTAAAATCGTAAGCGCGCAAAAATAATCGCCAGCAAATATATTTAACTATGTGGTAGCTTCATCACGTGATACTGATGCGTGACATCTAGTTAGTATTACCTATGCTATTCTCCAATATTCAGCGATTTCACCTAGGATGAATTAGCTACAGTACTGCTTTATATCTGAAACTGTATATCATTTTATTTCTTACCTGTTGTCTTTGTCGAAAAATGGCGCTATTTCGTGATACCGGTTGAGTAGTAAAACTTATAACTTGATATATAAACAAAAATATTCAATGGACTTAATGTTTCTTACGGCTCCGCATACACATTTAACTACACAATTCACCGACGTTTTCAGCCGTCCTCAGCTCTTTGTCAATGTACAGTGATACAAACGGATTTGCGAGGTCAAACGGCAGAGGACAGAGATTAATACTGACAGCGCTCTATTAATATGTGTCATCCAGATATTGCTCAGGTATATGCCACTGACCCTATTCATACATCTGATGGCCTGATTGGAAAGAGCTTCTTTGATCTTTCTAAAATTAATCTTATTCTTGCCCTTCAACCTTTCGAACACTAATTCCTGCTCGACCATAATGACGTGGAATTTGATACCTGAGTATTAGAGATGATTGTTATGGATCATTGTG